TCTCCAATCCTTTGCCTTCAGAGGCTTCTTTGAGCATTGTGAGCCCCGCCCAGCAGGATCACCCTAAGACTTGCTTAGACTGTCTGATGAGGCTCTCAGAGCTGGTACCTCACTGGCTGAAGGGGAGCAAACCAACTATGTAACCCTAGGAGCTGAATTTCTAACATGCCGGTCTGCTTGGTTCTCAGGATAGCCTAGGCACAGTTGAGCGGACTCAGGATTCTGAAGGCTCCTTGAAACTGGAGGATCCCACAGAGGTGACCCCAGGATTGAGCTTCTTTAACCCTGTCTGTGCCACTCCCAACAGCAAGGTAGGTGGGCTAAAAGCCAGGTGTTTCCAAATGTATCAGTGTCCATCTCTGCTTTAGCACTGACAGAGAGCTGTGGGGTGGGGAAGGGAAATAAAGGTACAATCAGCTTGCTGAGAATTGGGCATTGGCTAGAGTGTTTTCTTCAACAGAGCAATTTGGGGGGTCACCTCTGGGAGTGTGCTAAGTATTTGTAGTGACTAGGCTGTGCTGAGCCTCTGAACCCAGCCCAGATCTAGTCACAGCTATCTTTGTCCTTCCTAGATCCTGAAAGAGATGAGTGATGTGGAGCAGGTGCTGTTAAAGAAGACGGCTCCAGCTGCCTCCTCCCTTGGCCTCTCAGAGTTGAAACATGTAGCAACAGAAACCCAAGGAAATAAAGCTCCAGGGAAGAAAAAGAAACGAGCCCTGGCCAGCAATACCAGCTTCTTCTCTGGCTGCTCCCCCATTGAAGAAGAGGCCCACTGAAGATGGATTCATCATCTCTGCCCCAGTCTGGCCTGGGAGATGCATTCAGGTTGCGGCCAGAGGTGTTTTTTAATGACTCCTCTTGATTTCGGACTCCTTGCTGTGAAATAAAGGAACAACACATTACTGAAAAAGGGTGTCCAGCACTCCCAGCCCCGGACTACTCTCCTCTCCAGAAGGGTGCTGAGCTACCTGCTGAAGAGAGAACCAACTCTCTTCAGAGACCTTTCTGGTGACTCATCAGGAACGAGTCTTCAGTACAATCTAGCTCTTTCCTCCTCGTGAGCAGTTAGGGCTGTCTCCAGATGGGAATGAGGCTGAAGCTGTCTTATCTCAAGGTTGTCTCAGCTTAATGGCAGAGCCTGCTCTGTGTTGGAGGCCTGGCACAGATCCTTCATGCCACCTCCAGAATGGGGTTGGGATCTTTCCTGTCTCTGGTTCTTTCATGTTGCTCGGAGGTAAATGAAATCTTTTTAAATGTTAATGTTAAGTAAATAAATAAATCTTAGTCCATCTGCTGTTTGGAAAGACTCTTCTGTGCCAGAGGGAGAAATACAATTTCAACCCGAGTTCCTCCACCCCTAGGAATGCTATTAAGGAAGCTGGTGCAAGTGCCCAAACCTCACCGCCTTGTAGCAGCGCTCTTTCCCCAAGGGGTATGTGGAGCGCAAGCCATGTGTCTTCATGTTGCTGTTATCTCAGGAAGTTAGAATAATGCTAGCAAGGCCAGTGACCAGAGCTTCACTGGAGAGCCTGCCTGACCTTCAGATTTCGGGGGAAGGAACCATATTTACTAAGCATCTCCATGTGCTTGCCACAATTTTATCCGCTCCTCAAAAAAACATTCAAGGTGAATAGGTCTCATTTTGCACATGAGGAGACAGATACAAAGAAGCTGTCACTTCAATGGTCACAGAGTTAGTAATAGAGCTATGACTTGAACCCAGATGTGGCACCAAAACTTATGTGACCCAAGAACGACAGTGGTGGCCATTAACTAATGCCCTGCAGCCTGACCTGGCATTGCCTGGACGTGGGATGTTACTGCTGCCCAGCCCCCAGACAGCACCCCACTTGCTGCCTGCTTTCTCCTCTGAAAGGGAAGAGGAGGGGCGTGGCTGACTCCTCTTGCTGCATCAGGGCTCTCTATCTTTGCTTAAGGCCCTGGTCCTAGGGCCTTCATATCCATGCATTCTGAATCCCAGCCCCCACCCCCCAAAAAAAGCTCCCAAAGTACCCCCAGAATTCAGCACATGAAAGCCAAGACTCCTCCAGAATCCAACAGAGTCCAAGTAGAGGAAACTGAAGGATAACCTGCCTAGAGCGAGGTGACCCTGCAGCCTTTGCTGGCCTCCTGCCAGCAAACGGCCCTGCTTCTCTTTGCATTTTAATGCCGAGGGAGCAAGGGAGCCTTTGCCATTGCCAACTAGAGCCTCTGGATACAATGGAAAGGCAGAGAAGGAGGGGGGCCAGCTCTTGGCATAAGAGAGCCAGTCATCTCACTGTTTTCAAATCCAGTGCGTTTGGGGGGAGGGGTAAGCTTATTCCCAGAGAAAACATTCTTTCCCACCAACACTTTTGGTAAAAAAGTAAAAAACCAAAAGGTATAGAGGGAAGGTCAGTCAAAGCCAGCCCCTAGTCCCCAGCCCACCCAGAGCCCGCCCCATGCTTTAGGGCTAAGCTGACTCTACAATCCACCAGCCATCCCTCTCCTGCTTGATGGTGTGGTGACAGTGTCCTTTGTATGTGTTCACCTTCCAAAAGCCGGTGACCCTAACATTATATACTCTTTGAGTGATTCTTGGAAAGAGACTGTAGATGCCTTGGGGTCAAGGCAGCTGGAATGATGCAAATCTCAGCACATCTTAAATGAGCATCTCCTTTCTGGGCTGATGGGTGGAAGAGAAGGGCTGCTAGTGTCACTCAGGCCCCACCAGGTCCCCAGAAACCCCTGGTCCAGAAACAGGGTGAAACAGGAAGTGGCTTGCAACTCTTGAGTTCTCTTCTAGATGCACCACCTTGCAGACATGGATCCCAAGAGGGAAGGGGAGGCTGATAAATTAAAGCTCTCCTCCCAGGGAGCTTGAGACTGAATGCTAGACTTCCTCACACACATACACACCCTTTTCCAGGGGACTAACTGAGCCCCTGCTCCTTACTGCCAAGTTCCAAAGTTGTGTGGTCACCTCCCCCTAGCTTCCCGCCCACCCGTGCCCTCAGCCCTCGCTTCCCTGAGCCAGGACAAAGCCCCAGCAGTGACTGAGGAGAACAGGAGGAGGGACAGAGGGATGGGGAAAGCTGCACAAAGGAATTCCTCACCCCAAGCCCCCTGACCGGCGGCAGCGGCAGCGAGTAAAGAAACAGATCTGCTCACCCTCCCCCTTCCTGTTCCCATCTTCCCACCGACCCACGGACAGAGGGACGGGGCACAGACACCACAGGCCACAGAACAGCTGCAGACCTTAGGAGAGGACCCACACAACCTCCGGTAGGTGGCAACAGTGCCACCTGTTTGACTGGTGGGGCTGAGCCAAGTACTGGAAGAGGGAGGAGGCAGACAACTCGGACAGAAGCTGGGAAGCAGTGCAAAGCACAGAGCGGAGCTGCTGCTGAGAAAAGGTGTGAGGGCTTGGGAAGGCTTGGGGCCACAGGCTGGAGTGGCGGGGAGGAGACCGGCACCTGCTGGCAGGCATTGGGCCCAGAGATTGAGCAGCACCCCTGGTCAGCATCCCTGACTGGAGTTTTCTGACTGCTCAGCTCCTGGCCCCATCCTACAGCTCCTGGAGGAAAAGGGGACCCTGGAAGGCAGTGACTGGGGTGCAGGGGCAGGACCTAAGGTACGGATGTAGCCCGAGGCAGGCTCCTAGCACTTGGTGGTCCCACCATGGGAAGAGGCAGGGGACCTCCCTTTGGGTGGGCTTTTTCCTTAGAGGGGTGCCAGGGAGGGGAGAGGTTTCCTCCCCTCAGGACCTCCCTCAGCTTCAGCCCCCTAACTTCCAGGCCCTTCCCCAACTCTCCTTTCCAAAGGCAAGCAGAGGGTGAGAAGGGCTGTTTCAGGAGCAGCCACATCCTCACTCCTTTCAGGGCCCCGGCCACTGTGCACGCCTAAGACTTCACAGCCTCAGGGGAGCCCAGACCACACACACTTTGGGTGTATCGAGGGGCACTGTTACATATTCCAAGTCACCTAGAAACCCATTTCGCTACCAGCCACTAGTGCACACGCACATGCAAATGCTGACACAAACCCCACACCTTCTCATGTAGACTCACAATCACATGCCCAGCCTCGTCTGGGGATCAGTAAGCCAGCTTGGTCTCAGCTTGACCCCAAAGCACAAGGTCCAGGGATCCCCTGCCCTAAGACAACCACACAGCCCCATGTATACCTTTGCCCTGTATCTGTTGTACTTTCACCAAAGTGACCTCAGAGGGCGGGGCCCCTGAAAGGGGAAAGGCGGCAACTTGGTTCCTGGCTAGGGTGGGGGGATGACTGGGCAGGAAGGGACAGGACTGGGGCAAAAGGGCTTCGATTTTCCAGGTGTGTGCCAGCAGGAAAAAAGTTCCTTCAGGAGGTAAGGAGTGACCCAGGCAACTTGTACTCCTCAAGAATTCTCCATGCTGGTGGTGCCCCCTGCCCTCCGGAAGATGGAAATAGAATCTTTCAGTTCAGAGCTTTGTGATGTCTCCAATCTCTGTATCCACAGCAACTGACCAACTAGCCACTAGCCAGGCCTTCCTGGGTCCCAAGCCAGGACTGATGCCTCTGCTTCAGGTTTTTCCTGGTTCCTGTGATGAAAGCCACACCGTGGGGCTGCCTGAAGCTTGGCCAGATTTGCCTCAGCTTGCTAAACCCTGTTTGCCCCACCCCAGGCAGTTTTTCCTGAGTCCCCACCCGAGGCAAGCACTCCATCCCCAGATAGGGATGCTGTTAAAAGGGGAGGAGTTGGACAGGGTGGGTGTGTATCTGCCTAGAGGCTAGACCTCGTGACTGTCTCACTGAATTTCTAGGTGTGCCGTTGAAAAGAAGACCCCGGAAACTGTCCCCTTTGCTCATCTCCTCCTCCAATCTGGCACTTCGAGCCTGCCCTGTAACCTCTGTTGCTGAGCAGTGGCCCAGGGCTCCGCTCCTCCCGCACTGGACTCCTCACTAGGAGGGAGGCTGGGATCTGCCTTCTGCCAGGGTCCCTGAGAGCCAAGCGTCCCTCCCCCCAGGCCCTTACCATGGCCGAGTCCCCCGGCTGCTGCTCTGTCTGGGCCCGCTGTTTCCACTGCCTGTACAGCTGCCACTGGAAGCAATGCCCCAGAGATAGGAGGCAAACCGACAAGGTGAAGTATGGATGCCGGGGTGGGTAGGGGTAGAAGTCCAAGGCAGGGACCACTTGGAGGGGAAAAGAAAGCCAGGTGTGCTCAGAGACAGTGGAGGGGCAGGGATGGGGAAGGGACTTTCTCTCCCCAGGAGGAAAACCCCTTCAAATATGGAAAGAACTACCTGCAAAGCACAGCAGCCCCACACCTTGCAGGAAGCCCCCTTGAGCTGCCATCCCCTAGGGACTCCGAGCCGAAGTGGGGATGTGAGCCGCTGTGAGCTTCTCTCCTGTCCCTCTGCAGTGTGAATGCGTCTGGTTTGGCCTGCTCTTCCTCACCTTCCTCCTCTCCCTGGGCTGGCTGTACGTCGTGCTCATCCTTCTCAATGACCTGCACAACTTCAATGAGTGTGTCATGGACCCCCTTCCTCAGCAGACATGCCCATCTACTCCCCACCCTGGGACCCCTGGGTGCTCAGCCTGGCTTGTCCCCTACCCTGCCTCTTTGAAAACCCTTCCATGAAGTCTCCCCAGACCTTGGAGCCCCTGACCCCATGAAGGGCTTTCCTTCACTCCCTTCTAGCCCTGGTCCTGGATCCACCCAGCCCAACTCCCCTCAGGCCACTATTACCAACCTTCCCCGACTTGGACACCTCCCTCTCCCCTCCCACAGATTCCTATTCCAGCACTGGGGGCACTGGATGGACTGGTCCCCTGCATTCCTGCTGGTCATCTCTCTACTGGTCACATACGCATCCCTGCTCTTGGTGGGTGCAGAGACAACTGGCCTAACCTTATCCCTCCCCTCCTCGCAGCTCTACGCCGTCACTCTCATCCTGGCCACTGAGGGGAGGGTAGGAGGGAGGGGTCAGCCTAGGAAACACTCAGTGACCCCTCTTGGCACATCATGACTCCCACCACCTCTGCCCTCAGCTCCTGGCCCTGCTCCTGCGGCTCTATGGCCAGCCTCTATGTCTGCACACCATCCACAAGGTAGAGTGGGGATGGGCGCACGCGGGAGAGGGGCGCACTGGACCCGGTGCTCAGCCGGCTCTTCTCTTCCTGGGCACAAGCCCAGGACCCAAAGCCCAGTAAATATATGTTGAATGAAAGGAGGACAGTGGATGAGCCAGGAGAAGGGAATGCTCCTGTTTTCACAGAGTGAGGAGCAGCCTAGGCAGCCCAGGTTGACACAAACGTGCTCCTCACCCCTGGTTCCCCAGGTGCTGCTGCTCCTCATCATAATTCTTGTGGCTGCTGGCCTTGTGGGGCTGGAGGTCCAATGGCAGGAGGAGTGGCATAGCTTACGTCTGTCACTGCAGGTGAGTGGCTGATACCCAGCTCTTGGGGGGAACTTTCTCCTGTGGCCAGCCCCAGGACACAGCGTGCTCCCTGGTGCCCCGAGACTGCAGGAAGCTCTCAACTTCAAAAGTCAGCTCCTAGGACGAGAAGGGAAGAGGTTCTAAGGAGAAGAGCCCTCCTTACCAGCTCTTGTCCACAGGCCACAGCCCCATTCCTTCACATTGGAGCAGCTGCTGGCATCACCCTCCTGGCCTGGCCTGTGGCTGATACCTTCTACCATATCCACCAAAGAGGTGCCAACTCCACCCCCACCCTCCAGTCCCCTTAATGCCCACCAGTGCTTCTGCCTCCTGCTGCTCCATTTCCTACACCTGCGCTCTCTTTTCTACCCTGAGGGCTACCACCGCCCTTTCTCCATGGCCTGTCCCCCACTCCCCACAGGTCCCAAGATCCTGCTACTGCTCTTATATTTTGGAGCCACCCTGGGCATCTACCTGGCACCCCTATTCATCTCCTCAGCCTGTATCATGGAACCCAAAGACCTACCACACAAGCCTAAGTTGATAGGACACCGAGGGGCCCCCATGGTGAGTGTGGGGCAGAATGCTGGCAGGGTGGGGAAGGTCTGCTTCTCCAGGCTGCTGCGGCCAGGCCTGTGGGTTCCCAGGCTCCCACCCTTCCCTGCTCCCTCACCTTTCCCAGCTGGCCCCAGAGAACACCCTGATGTCCCTGCGGAAGACAGCTGAATGTGGAGCTGTTGTGTTTGAGACCGACGTGATGGTCAGGTGAGAGAAGCTGGGGCCCCTTCTCCCCGCCAAATGACACAGCAGGGGAGCTCCAGAAGTGAGGACCAGCCCCAGAGCTTGGTCCTCTGACTCCCCTTGTGCCTTCAGCTCCGACGGGATCCCCTTTCTCATGCATGATGAGCGCCTAACCAGGACCACAGATGTAGCCTCTGTGTTCCCAGACCGAGTCAACAGCCACAGCAGTAACTTCTCCTGGGCTGAACTGAAGAGGCTCAATGCTGGGGCCTGGTTCCTTCAGGTGAGGACAGCCTTCTGCAAGGGACAGCCACGTACAGGGGCGCTCTGGGCAGAGTTCGTTCATTGATAACCATCTGCTGAGCCCTGTGCTGGGCAATAGGTATACAGTCTCTGCCCTCAGATCATTCCTTCCTAGTAAGGCTATCAGAATAGGAAACCTCAAGTGAGAACAAGGTCTGCACTGGGTAGAGAGGAGAGAGAGGCCACTGTTGGGCAGGGGCCGTGTGGGAGAGGATCAGGAGTGGGTTCACAGGAGAGGATGCCTGAGCAGCATATGAAGTGAGGGTAGTTTTTAAGATGGGCAAGGCAGGGAACGAGAATTCTGGTTAGAGGGAAGAAGGAGGGTAAAGCCCAGAAATATGAAGAAGTGTTTTCAGGGAATGAAGAGTGGCTCACTAGAAATTTTCTGGCAGTTTAGTGGTTAGGACTCAGCACTTTCACTACCTTGGGCTTGGGTTCAATTCCTGGTTGGGGAACTAAGATCCCCCAAGCTGTGTGGTGTGGCCAAAAAAAAAAAAACCAAGACAATGAAAAAGTGGCTCAGTGGAAGTGGGAGATAGAGATGCATGGGAGTCACGGGAGCTGAGGCTGGCTGGGGCCTGGGGGAGCAGAGTCTTGGTCTCTGGTGGGCTTTGAATGCCAGGCCCGGAAGTGTGGACTTCAATCCTGCAGATGATGGAAAATATTTCAAAGGATACTTGATTTGTTTAACTCCCCTTTTCTTGATTACCAAAGTAATACAAGTTCCTTGTTTAAAAAAAAAAAAAAGTAAAACATCAGAGAAATAACCTAAAATTGAAAAATCTCCCGTAATCCAACCCTTCAGCTGGGTATGTATTCTGAGTGATGAAGACATATCTGATTGCTTAAGAGTAAGGGATGTCTGAGTTTGAATCACGGATTAGCCACTTCCTGGCTGTGTGAGCCTGGGCAACATTCTTTAGGGTCTCTGTTCTTCATTTTCCTCATCTATAAAATGGGAGTAACAACAGTACTTACCTCGTGGGATTGTCAGGAGGACTAAATAAATACACATAACGCACTTCTAATACTGCCTAGCATGTAGTAAATATTTAATGTGTTGATAGCTCACTTTTTCCATGTGATTACTAGGCAAGGTCATTTGTTGATTTCAAGGGGAGGAGGGGAGAGTGGCAGAGGTTTGGAATAGCCAGCAGGAGGAATGGGAGAGGGAGCAAATCAAGAGCAAGTAAAAGGATGGCTAAGTGGCACAGAGAACACAAAAAATGACTACAGGGCCAACAGCCCACGTGATATTCTCTGCCCCCCAATTCTAGTGGGTGGAAGAGGTGGACAACTGTAGAATTCAATCAGTTTAGGATTTGTGGGGCACCTGGGGCACGAAAGGAGTTGAGGGGGTTGTTGAAAAGTAGTTTAAGCTGAGGATGGACCATGCGTAGGGGATGTAAGTGTGGCTAGAAAGGGTCCAGTGGACTGGGAGGAAACCAAGGGGTCAAGATCCCAGGGGGTCTCCATGAGACCAAGAGAAAGTGTAGTGAGAGTGAGGAAGTTAGAAAACCCGGAGGGTAGGAGGTTGGGGTCAGAGTAAGGTGTCAGAGGGTCGAGAAAAGGCCACAGTTAGGAAAAAGGAAAAACCCTGACTCAACAGAGGGCCGAAGCTGTTCACCAAGTGGGGGAAACGAGTAAGGATAATGAGGATGGCGGCACAGCCTGGAGGCTTCTTCTGATCTTGAAATAATTTTCTTCTTATAGAGGCAAACTTTCTGGGGGGCTAAGCCGCTGTCAGGCCATGATCGAGAAGATGCTGAGAGTCAAACAGTGCCATCCTTGGAAGAGATACTGAAGGAAGCTGAAGGCCTCAACCTTTCTATCATATTTGACCTGCGCCGCCCCCCAGGAAACCACACATATCATGACAGTTTTGTGAACCAGACATTGGAGACTGTGCTGAGTTCAGGAGTGCCCCAAGCCATGGTGATGTTGTCAGGACCCCAAGTGCCCCCTCTTGCCCCTCTCCCCTGCCTTCCCTAGACTATGACAATAATGTTGAGGCATCCCCTCTCCCCAGAGTCCCACCCCAGCTCAGGTACCCCATCTGTGGTGATACATCTTTACCCCTGCTGCCACCCCCAGAATCTCTAGGCCTTCTCCAGCTTCATGCCCACCTACCCTGAACCACAGGTCCTTTGGCTGCCGGATGAAGATCGGGCTTATGTCCAAGAAAGGGCCCCCCAAATGCGCCAGATATACGGACATCTGGAAGGCCATGGCACTGAGAGACCCCAGTTTCTCAACCTCCCCTATCAAGACCTGCCACTGTTGGATATCAAGTGAGTGCCAGAGGAAAGGAGCCGAGGGGATCATGTGAGGCTTAATGGTGTAGAAGATCCAAGGCTGGGAGGGCAAAGGCCATTCATTCATTTGCTCATACAACACATATTTATTGAACACCTACAAAAGTCAGGCTCTATTTATTGCAGGTTTGGGGCATGGGAGAGACAGATAATAAACCACTGCACAAAACATATGCATGTTGGATAGTGATAAGTGACATGAAGACAAAAATTCAGGAATGGGGTAGAGATGGGAAAAGAGGGGAGAAGGTCACAGTAGGAAAAGTGGTGAAAGAGGTGGTGTCTGGGCTGAGACCTGACAAGTCACAAGGAGGTGACAATGGGAAGAGCTTCAGAACAGCAGCCTCATGAGCAAGGGGAAGGTGAGATTGGAGAGGTTGGCAGGGGCCAAACTGGGTAGGACTTTGTAGGCCACCAGGATTTTAGCTTTCATTCTACACCAGAGAGGGTGGATCCAGGGGAGAGAGGCAAGAGAGTCCCACATGTGAGTGGATGCAACCAGAAAACATAATAGACTTCAAAACCTGTAGTCACCAAGCTCTCTTATAATATCCTTGTGGTTAGATAGGGGAAAAATGTGGACTGAATGATATCCCAGTTATCATATTAAGTATTTCAAGGATCTTTCCCCAAGTTGTCACTATGGGAGGAGATAGGATATCAGGTTAAGACTCCCCTTAGTCTTGTCCTGATCAACATTGGCGGCTGATCATGTTTCCAGAAGGCATGAATTGGTAATGAAAAAGGTGATGGGAAAATGGAGGCCTCAGAAGGTCTAAGCACTCTAAGGTGACAGGTCAAATGTATCAAGATGAAATGCAATGGAGATACATGTAAAGACCCATGCTTAAGGTCCAGAGGAAGCTCAATTGCACAAAAATAAGAGAGGGAGACACTGGCATCAGCAGGAATATGTGTGAAAAAGACCAGGACTTTGACTGTACACTGTGCATAACGAATGAGCCAAAGTCATGTGACATTGCCAAAAACTAGCCTGACCCTGGGCTGCCTTCACATGGACATAGCGCCCGGAAGGCAGAAGGAGTTTTGCTCTCCTCTAAGCTAGTCCCAGCCCACCCAGGCTATCACGTTCAGATGCAGGCTCCATACTTCAAAAGGAACATTGGTAAATGGGAGTAAGATCAGATTAGAGAGGCTGGTATGGTGAAAGGAATGATAACCCAGGTCCCTGATTGAAGCAACTGGGGTGGTTGGGCCTGGAGAAAAGAAGACTCAGGGGTATGTGGTCACACTGTTCCTCAGACCTCTTAAGGGATGGCATGGGACAAAGAGGAGAGACACATTTGTGTGACCCCAGACAGCAAAACTAGGACCCACGGGTGAAATCCACTGGGAGACAGGGCAGGTAGGGGCCTGCTATCCAAAGGCAGAAGTGATGGTTCTGGAGCAGGGACACTGTGGATTCAGATACAGAGAGGGGCTGTTTCCCTCCTATGCCTGGAGCCTCAAGATTCTGAATGTTCCCTATTTCTTTCCCGCCTGCACAGGGCACTGCACCATCATAATGTCTCAGTGAACCTATTTGTAGTGAACAAGCCCTGGCTCTTCTCCCTACTCTGGTGTGCAGGGGTGGATTCAGTCACCACCAACGACTGCCAGCTGCTGCAGCAGATGCGTTACCCTGTCTGGCTTATTGTAAGAGCTCAGGGACTGTCACCCCTCCTCCTCTTTTCCTATCCCTGCTTCTCCTTAACCCTCTTCCCCTCTTCCTTACTTATTTCCCCCCATACACCCCCTGGATCTGTATATGGGTGACTCTGGCCACTGACAGGGACCTTTTTCTTGTCTCACAGCCCGCTCGAACCTACCTGATAATATGGATCATTACCAATTGTGTCTCCATCCTGCTGCTTTTGTGGACTTTCCTCCTACAATGGTGAGTCCTTTGTGCCTCAGCTTTCTGGGTCTTCATTCTCCCTAGGGTCCTGGTGATGGGGCATATTTGGACTCATTGACGCTGCCTAGGGCTTGGGGTTTGGTCTGTTTGGACCCTTGGAGATTCTTAAACCCTTCCTTTATATGTCTAATTGGCTCGAACCTGGGAAAGTCAGTTTGGGGGAACTCAGTGTCAAAAGGTTGTGCTTGATGCTGGCTGAACTTACAATGTGAAGCTTTTCTCCCCATAGGAGGTGTGCTAAGGAGAGACAGAGAACCGGTAAGAGCTCTTTCCCCTCATCTCATTTTTCTCCTCCTCTAGCCTTCCCCTTGCTCACTCCCTATGTGTCCCCTCTTACCTCTCCAGGGCTAGAAACAGCAGTGCTGCTGACCAGGATCAACAATTTCATAACGGAGTGAATGCCCTGTCTTAAGCCCCCCATCAGCCAAAATCAGAGGCCTGTTTGCATTGGCCAACAGCAAGGAAGAGAGGGTGGCTGAGGTGGAATATTGCTGGGGTTGGCATGGGGTGAATTTTGCCAGCAGGAGGTGTTCCCCTTGGGATTTTGATCTGAGGTGGTCAGAAAGACACTGAATCACAAGAAGTTTCTCCCCAAATGAAACTTAACAGAGGAAGAGACAAGGAGATTGCCAAGAGAATGTTTCAGATCTATGCGCAGGTATTCTTGTGTACCAGGCACAGGGTATCAGGGATGGGACAGCTCAGAACTGTGACTGAAGGAGATGACAAAACAGCCTTTCCTGGAGAACTGTAAGATGATGGAGACATCAACCTGGCTCCAATCACTGTCTCTCTTGACATATGCAATTTATCTGATTTCCTGCCTAGAGACAGAGCCCATCTCCTGTTAAAGAGCCCATCTAGCCATGTAATTCTGTGCCTGCAAGTGGCTTTTTCTTGTGCACAGTCTTCTTCAAGACACACTGGTTCTTGACCCTTGTCCATTAATCTGTTATTCAATGAATTTAATGCCCATTTGGCACAGTCTAATCTTCTCGGGGCTGGCACTGGGTGGAGGATGCACCTTGCATCTCGAGTTGTATGTGACATGACATTGAGGGGTCATCATGAGGAGAATCGTGGGTTGGCGGTGGCAAGTGGACCACCTGGGGCGATGAAGGGCTGCAAATGGTCAGCAGGAGCGCCACCGCCACAGGGAACATTCCCGGTGGCCCAAGCGCGCTGTGCAGTCTTGCGCTGGAGCTCCACCTTGTGGTCACCTGCCCCAAAAGGAGGGCCGCGCCCGTCGTCACCTGTGAAGCTGGATGCCACCTGTTTCTCGTGCCCGTTGGGAACCTGTGTTCTTGACTCCGGACCCCAAGGGCATGATCCGATTTCCACATGTTCTTGCTTCTCTGGGTTGCGCGCAGGGTCTGGTTGCCCGACCCACGAGGAGCAAGTTCCCCGGTGTGTTTGCTGCTCATGAGTCCCTGGACTAAACAATTTACATGACCGGCGCCTAGCTGGCCTACGATTATGTGACTGATAGAAGTTGGGGAGGGGCTACGGAAAACATAAGGACCGGAGGGGGCTCTGGCTGCCTCTTTAGTCCCCCACCGCACCCACATTCGCCCCGGTTCGCTTCTCCACGCCCAGGTTCATTTCTCCACATGAAGGGAACTCGAACTAAGGGTCTGACGAGGTCGAGGTCAGGAGGTTCAGTTCTCAATTATTCCTCTCCCTAGGACCAGGGGTGGCACTGGCATCTAGGGACAAGACCCTCCTTGGCTGCAGGGCAGGCAGCCCTGAGAACTGCAATTCCCAGGATGGCCCTGGCCACTTCCGTTCTCGGGGTGGGCCGACCGAAGTGAGTTTGAATTTGTGTTCCCGCCCCCTCCTCCTCCCGGACACTGCGCTTTCCCTTCTCGCCGCCCCGCCCCCGCCAGGCACACACAGGTACACACGTACACAGGCCGCCGTCCACGCCAACACACCTGGCCTGCAGCTGGCGCAGTGGGCGGGGGCACCGGCGTGCGACCGACTGGGAGGCCGGAGGAGCCCCAGTAGCCCACGCCGCGGCAGCTGCCTAATCCCAGTCTTCTCGGGGGTCCACGCCGCCTGGGACCTCCTCTTCCACACACTACCTTTTCAAGCTGCAATTCCAGAGTTTGCCCCGTTCCGGATCCCGCCCCTCAGACCGACTGCCAGCCTCAGCTCTGGGGCTCCCAGGTACCGCCGGGCTCTCACCTCTCAGGTCGGACCTCTCCCCTCCCCATCCCTACTTTGCTGTCCCCTCCCTGGCGCCCAGACACCCAGCCCCGCAGCCTCTTCCTCCCCTCCCCTCCGGACTAGACCCTGACTGCCTCCAGAGTTTCCAAACCCCTCAGCCTCCACTTCTCAGCTCCCAGTCTCAGCTGCAGTCCTCTAACCTCAGGATCTAGACTCCGGGCCCCGCAGGAATGCCCCTAGCTCTTGCCCCAAGCCTCTAGCCTTGAGTACTCAGCCCTGTGCCTGACACCGCCCATCCTTCCTCTCTTCCCAGCAGGATTAGACTCTTAACTTCTATAGGGTCCTGGACTGGAGACTGAGTCTGACAAAAACTTGAGGGTGGAGGGCCAAGGGGAACTGCTCATTGGGGTTCCAATGCAGTTGCTCTCGTTATTTTTAGCTGCTGACTCACAGCTTCTGGCACTAGGGTTTGGGGCTAGCAGGCTGGGCTAGGGGGCTATTAATAGAGCTGAGGCACAGCCCCGACCCAGTTCAGTTTAGAAGCACGGGGAGTAAGGAGCCTTCCCTTGGATCCTCTGGAATTGTTGTGGACTAGGGTAGTGGCCCTCTTGATGAAAGTGAAAGAGGAGAGTGAAAAAGTTGGCTTAAAGCTCAACATTCAGAAAACTAAGATCATGGCATCTGGTCCCATCACCTCATGGGAAATAGATGGGGAGACAGTGGAAACAGTGTCAGACTTTATTTTTCTGGGCTCCAAAATCACTGCAGATGGTGACTGCAGCCATGAAATTAAAAGACTCCTTGGAAGGAAAGTTATGACCAACCTAGACAGCATATTAAAAAGCAGAGACATTACTTTGCCAACAAAGGTCCATCTGGTCAAGGCTATGGTTTTTCCAGTGGTCATGTATGGATGTGAGAGTTGGACTGTGAAGAAAGCTGAGAGCCGAAAAATTGATGCTTTTGAACTGTGGTGTTGGAGAAGACTCTTGAGAGTCCCTTGGACTGCAAGGAGATCCAACCAGTCCATCCTAAAGGAGATCAGCCCTGGGTGTTCATTGGAAGGACTGATGCTGAAGCTGAAACTCCAGTACTTTGGCCACCTGATGCGAAGAACTGACTCATTGGAAAAGACCCTGATGCTGGGGGGGATTGGGGGCAGGAGGAGAAGGGGACGCCAGAGGATGAGATGGCTGGATGGCATCACTGACTCGATGGGCATGAGTTTGAGTGAACTCCGGGAGTTGGTGATGGACAGGGAGGCCTGGCGTGCTGCGATTCATGGGGTCGCAAAGAGTCGGACATGACTGAGCGACTGAACTGAACTGAGGGTAGTGGCTGGACTAGGACCTCTCTGGTTGCCAGTACCTCAGCCTGATATCTCTACCTTGGAACTCTTGAGGGAAAGCCCCTGACAAAACTCAGGGCACAGCTCCCCCCTAAGTTTGCCATGGCTTGGGACTCTGCCACAATGAAGCTCCTGCTGCACTGAGTGAAGAGATGACTTCCAAGTGCAGGGATTATTGTGCCCACAGCTTTGGCCTGCTTGGACCTACTCCTGGGCCAGAATGCTAGGTTACTAGGAGGAATAGCTGTGGATTTCTGGTTCCCAAAGGCCGTCATGATGATGGGATACTACAGCATGGTCCTATCAGAGAGAGCACAGAGCTGACAGAATTTGCTAGCTCTAAACCAGACACAGGACTAGCAAACTGTCAAATTCTGTGTTACCACTCTCCTGTTCTTTTTGTTTCTTTCCCTCTTGTTGTGCTCTATGCCTCATCACAGGTGTCAACATATCTCAGGCTCTCTCTCTACTCCATAGAGAAATCTAATTGAGGAAAGCCACTAAGAAACTCCTATAGGACTTTTTATCTTAATGGGTGGAAGTAGGATTTTCCTAATCCATTCATTGGGGGTGGTGGAGAAATCTTGATACCTTAGTGAACTAATCATCAAAATTATTCCATCCCACGCCCAATGTGCTAGAATTCCCGTCCACCAAGAATGCACACCCATAACAATGCCCCTCACTCACAAAGCAGAAACTTCCCAGTTTCAGCAAACCCGATCTCTGGCTCCCAGGTGAAAAGCCCCAAGGGCTTTGGGGCAAGAGTGGTTATTTCTTCACACAAAAAGACTGGGGTCACCCAATGAAGCTGTACTTTTGAGAATGAGCCCAAATTATCATACAGTAGCGGGCCACACGACCCTCATCCTGTCAATTTGCTGAGGGTGTTGGAGAGACCAAAGATGGAAGTCAGAAATAGTCACTCTCCTCCCAAATCCTGTATCAGGTTCCTCGGTGGCTTCAGTCTCATTGTCAGTTCAGTTCAGTTGCTCAGTCATGTCCAACTCTGCGACCCATGGACTGCAGCATGCTAGGCCTCTCTGTCCATCACCAACTCCCAGAGTTTACTCAAACTCATGTCCATTGAGTCAGTGATGCCATCCAACCATCTCATCCTCTGTCATCCCCTTCTCCTCCCACCTTCAATCTTTCCCAGTATCAGGGTCTTTTCCAATGAGTCAGTTCTTCGCATCAGGTGGCCAAAGTATTAGAGTTCAACTTCAGCATCAGACCTTCCAATGAATATTCAGTACTGATTTCATTTAGGATGGACTGGTTGGATCTCCATGCAGTCCAAGGGACTCTCAAGAATCTTCTCCAACACCACACTTCAAAAGCATCAATTCTTCAGTGCTCAGCTTTCTTTATAGTCCAACTCTCACATCCATACATCACTACTGGAAAAACCATAGCTTTGACTAGATGGACCTTTGTTGGCAAAGTAATGTCTCTGCTTTCTAATATGCTGTCTAGGTCGGTCATAACTTTTCTTCCAAGGAGCAAGTGTCTTTTAATTTCATGGCTGCAGTCACCATCTGCAGTGATTTTGGAGCCCCCCCAAATAAAGTCTGACACTGTTTCCACTGTTTCCCCGTCTATTTGCCATGAAGTGATGGGACCAGATGCCATGATCTTAGTTTTCTAAGTGCTGAGTTTTAAGCCAACTCTTTCACTCTCCTCTTTCACTTTCATCAGGCAGCCTAGCTGCCTAACAATCTCAATCGCCTGCAGGGGCAGGGGTTGTTTTCCACCTGTAAGGGGCGCCTGTCTCCCTGAGGTCTCAGGCTGGAGGTCTAGCAGTTGGGAGGGGGTTCCAAGTGTCAAAGCATCTCAGGGTTGATGACCTCTTCCCAGGGTTGCCAATCATGTCTAGTCTGA